ATCGAGTCCAACTCCGTGGTGATCCGGTACAGCATACCCGACACGCAACAGGGTAAGGATCAACAGATCCGGGATGCCGATATTGACCTGTATGTGGGTGGTACCAAGCTCAAATCGCTGACGTTCACCAATAAGTACAGTTGGTATTACGGCGGCTACCCGTTCAACAACAACCCCAGCAGTGGTAACCCCCACCACATGTACGACTCGGTGCGTACGCTGTTGGACAAGACCTACCCGGCCGGCACTAAGGTTAAGGTACAGGTGGTGTCGACTGACAAATCACCCACTTTCACTATTGATCTGGCTGATTTTGAGTTGGTGGGCAAACCCCTTGAACAACCAGCCGGTTCATTGTCTGTCGTAGATGCCGGTGCTGACCCTACCGGTAAGAAACCGTGATTTTAAAAATTAATTATTAAACTTAATATAAATTAAGCTAGTTTAATTTAAATAGTATAATATTAAAGTTTATAAACCCAGCTGAAATAATATTGAGTATTGCTATGTATTGTACTTGATTAGTATTATTAGATTTATAATTTTAGAAACTAAAACTTACATAGTAGTTATTTAGGTTATAATAAATGATTTTTATCTACACTCATTAAAAGTATAGCCAATATATTGATAAATTAAATATAAGACTAATCCAAAAGATAGATATGAGCCGTTTGATAGCAAAGGGGATTAAGTCTATATTGAAACTTGTGTCCGGTATATAAGCTTATATGGCTAAACCATTACATAAAGTTCAATACCTTGTATTTGCATTTAGACTTAATTCCCTTTGCTAGCAAACGGTTCATATACAAATATTAAATAAATTATTTAAACAACCCTGCTCACAGGAAAAACCGACTCAACCAAGGCTTTCCAAAAGGCCGTTGATGATGGTCATGGACAAAAGAAAACAGTATGGATTCCCCAGGGTGAATACCTGCTCTACGACCACGTCATTGTGGACGATGTCACAATTACCGGTGCCGGACCCTGGTACTCGGTGTTGGGCGGCAGACATCCTCAAGATAAACAAAAATCTGGTGGCATTTTCGGCAAATATGACGCCGATGTTCCCGGCGGTAGTAAAAACGTAATGCTTTCCAACTTTGCCATCATTGGCGATATCAGAGAGCGAAATGATAACGCACCCACCAATGCCCTTGGTGGTTCCCTGTCCAGCTCGGTGATCGACAACTTGTGGCTGCAGCACGTGAAGTGTGGTGGGTGGTTTGACGGCAAAATGGACGGCCTGGTCATCAAGAACACCCGTATCGAGGACACCACCGCCGACGGCGTCAACTTCCACAAGGGGGTCACCAACTGTGCCGTACAGAACTCGTTCATCCGAAACACCGGTGACGACGGTCTGGCCATGTGGTCCGAGCAGTTCCCCAACAAGAACAACAAGTTCCTCAACAACACCGTCGGTATTCCCATT